GATCAGTCTTGGATTGAGCTTCCTTTCGTAAACCTCAGTGACTCCTAGTTAAATCGCAGGCAGACACAATCTGTTAGCAGCCTCATCTACATACACAAGGGACTGATGTTTATGAGGCGCTAGCTTGGTGTATGACTCACTGCAGCAACAACTTTATATGCTGTCAGATAAGTTAGAAGTAATAAGTTACTTATATTTTTATACAGATGGCGGAGGGCAGACCAAGTGACTGGGGGCTTGGTTTGTCTGGTTTGTGCGCATTTATTGGGATTCGAGGTCCTCTCGCCATTTTCTGCCAGTCCCAGGGGGGCAGGGCAGCTTGTTCACGATGGAGTGGTGGCACATTGTGAGTGAAATGGCAGGATTCCATAAGGAGGGACCAAGGCTGGGAGGAGAAATGGTAGGATTCGATGAGGAGGAACCAAGGCTGGGAGGAGAAATGGCAGGATTCCATAAGGAGGGACCAAGGCTGGGAGGAGAAATGGCAGGATTCGATGAGGAGGGACCAAGGCTGGGTCTCCCTTTTCAGGGGCCCTAGGCAGACCCTTAGCCAGAAATGAGTTTTGGGGGGCGGGTTCCTCCTCGTTAGATCTCATCAGCTGGGGGGGTGGCATTTCCCCATGCTTAGAGCCGGCCCCAGGAGTGACTGCAAGACATTGTTAAAAGCTTCTTTCATTTCACATTTGGGATATTGTTTGGTCAGTGCCCAGTAAAGTTCCATTCTATGCTGAGTGTATGAACGTTACAATATGTTTCTAATACAGGGTTATCAGATAATACATGTCAAGGGGGACACTTTGAGCCAGAACAGGATTTTTTTCTAATTAAAAGGACCCGAATTTCACTTAAGCACTGATTTTTTGCTGTGTGCTGATTGGTCAGTCCCCTACAATCATGCATGTGTCACTAATGCTAATGTGAAACAGCTGGATGAGACTTTCAGTCACTTAAGGAAACAAACCAGTTAAAGTACAACAAGAACTGAGCTAGTCAGCCAAGCACAGGAGTTTTCCAGTTTTAAAGTAGTTTGTAAAACCTGTGTCCCCTCTGAAATGGATTATCTGGACGCACACAGAGATGCAGGAGACATCAGTGACAGATTGTGAGGTGAAGATCTGGCAGATGAGCAGTGGGGTTGACTGCAGGCCAAACACATCATGATAAACGTCGCAATCATGAGACAGGCCCCTAGAAAAACTGCTCGGCAAAACAAAAAGTCGCAACAGAAGCACAAGCCAGCATACAAAATCCAGGCTATGTGTGGAGCAAGTTCACTGTGTACAGCAGCATCTGCTGTGGCTTCCTCCCGCAGTCCAAAGACGTGCAGATAGGTGGAATGGAGTCTTTAAACTGGCTGTGGTGTATGAATGTGCTCCCTGTGAAGGACTCAAATCTCGCTTCCCAGCCCTGTGCCCTTTGCTGCCTGGGATGGACTCCAGGCCCGTCAGAACCCTGACGTACATAAGCATTTGGATGGTAGATGGACGGGTTTTATTTACTGCGGTATCTGTGGGCAGATGGTCACTATGGAAAAGCTTTGCCTCCCACTGGCAGCTGGGAATTAGCGCTGCGCAGCGCAGTCTGGAGCTGTGAAAAAAATGTGAGAAGAAAGACATTTCGGAGCAGCTGAACAGAGTCATCGGATGCAGCAGGAGCCTGTAGATGTGTGAGGGAGGGAATCAGGTGACAGTCTAGCCCCAGAAAAGTGGCGCAGTGGCTCAGTCAGTAGCACTGCCAGTGGTTTCAATCCCGCGTCTTTGTGCGTGTGGAGTTTCTGCACAAACTTGCACAAACTTCTGCACAAACCCTCACCTCACTCAGACCTCCTAGTTATGAATATGTGATACAGGTTTCAGATTAAACTACCAAGGATTAGCAGATCACATGATTTGGAGGAAAAGGGTGGGAGCAGAAGCTTTCAGGCTGCATGGCAGATTAAATGCACTGCTGCTTCTGTACTGTGCAGCAGGGGGCAGTATCTCAGAGACCAGGGTGAACCTCCTTTTGGATGATACAGCAGCTGCAGTTACTTGGCTTGATAAACATACTTGACACACTGATAAACATACTTTACAGTCGTGACAAAAGCCTGATATAAATCCATGATAGTGACATTGTACTGTTGAGTAAGAGAAAATTGACGTCGGGTAAATATGAAGAGTCTCTGGTTGCACAGCAGTGGGCTTTGGTTGGTGTTAAGGGTCCCTCCTTACATTAGCTTTCACCAAGATTTTACAAATGTACAATGGCGCCTCCATGTGGAAGAAATTTAACTGCTATCGATTTACAAGTGAAATGCATTAATGCCAAGAACTGCTAATTTGAACAAATGCCTGTATATTTACATTAATCTGACACTTTCATGCAAACCAACTTACCACAGAGAGAAGGGTTTCAGTTTATGTGGCTCCCTGGAAGCTGAAATTACAACCTTAGTGTTGACGGCATAATGCTCTGCGTGGACCATCCGGGGGTCCGGAGGGGAGAGTCACTGCCCTAAGAGACCCAGGAGATACGGTTCCATATGAACCCGTCTTATTTACAATAATCTTTCTAAATGAACTGACAATAATAATAATTAATATTTCAGTCATTTTGATGATCAGGGAATCCAGGTTTTACTTAGGAATTCAAGTAATCAGACTGGAATCAGCTTAGAGTGTTGGCAGGGTCACTCTTCCATGAGCGTCCATAGCCGGTAAGGTCAGACCTACACGGGCATGAGGAAACACGGGGAGAGTGCCAGGGCGGGGGNACGGGCATGAGGAAACACGGGGAGAGTGCCAGGGCGGGGGACTGACGGAGCGTCCGACAGGTAAACGTGAGCAAGGACCAGGAGAGGCAGAAGACACTCAGGAAGCACCGTGAAAGGAAGCAAAACCTTACACTGTGTGCAAGGGCTGGCAGGCAGGGCCTTCAACGGAAAGAAAGAGGTGTTATCGTTAGTGGGGCAATCGGTGAGATGCATTTTTTGGAGAAAGCTGACAGTCCTTGGAACGGTTGGGGGTTGAGAGCCGTGGTCGGGGGGGGGCACTCTGCCAACGCAGTGATCTGAGCCGGCGACCTCCTGGTCACTGGCAATGCGGAGTCACACACCAGTGAGATTTTGCTTTTGAGACAAAAACTAACAGAAACAGTAATTAACTGGAATAAAACAGTAATTATCTGTCGTGATTTATGCGTTTTTAACGTAAATGTTGTACTGTGCTGGTTGTCCAAGTACTGAAAGTCAGTCGTCGACACGTTGCTTTTGCTTACAGTGATCAAACACAGCAGGTATCATGTCAGCTTTTATTCCGAGTCGCATTTTATCCATAAACTCCACAAGCGCCTTGAGTCTCTGTCTAGTGCTTAGGGTGCAGTGCGCGACTTGGTTTAAAATTTTAAGTTTTGGTCGCTAGATGGAAGGAGATGATTTTAACATTTACTTTACATATCTGTCATTTACCTTACCTACAAATCCATCAATCCAGCCATGTTCCAAGCTCTTGTCTAGCACAAGATCGTGGTAAAGATTGGACCATATCCCAAATAGCACTGGGCACTGCAGACGGGATGCCACTGGCACGATATTGGTACAGCTTGTCTGCTACTGCAGTATGACTGAGCCGAAACATAAAATAACATAAACTAAGAGCAAGGGTGTATCTAGAAATTTTGGTCACCCTGACAAAATATCACTGCCCCCCAGCCCAATTTTACGTATCATTTTATGTTTTCAAGGCTTCCTGTCAAATGTTTCCCCAGATCTGTCAAGGTATCCATGGCCGTCCGGAATAAGAGCATTCATTGGATGGAACACTATTTGCTGATGATCAGGGTTTTCCGTTATGGCACGGTGACGTTCAGACGCCTTCCTGACCGCTCCGTATGCAGCTAGGATCATTAAGGACTTGTCTCACCCCAATAACGGACTGTTCAAGCTTCTGCATTCAGGCAGAAGGTTCCGGGTCATTATGGCCAGACAGAGACTCAGGAGTTTCTATCCCCAGGCGATTTGACTCCTCAACCAAGACATGCCACTCTCCCTGTCATAGTGTTATGGTTATCAGTTCACCTTACACTGCTGTGCTGACACTGCACACTGCACTTTAACTGGCTATCATGCCACTCTCCTGGTCATAGTGTTATGGTTATCAGTTCACTTTACACTGCTGTGCTGACACTGCACTTTAACTGGCTATCATGCCACTCTCCTGGTCATAGTGTTATGGTTATCAGTTCACTTTACACTGCTGTGCTGACACTGCACACTGCACTTTAAACTGGCTATAAGCATTTCTTGCACAGTATTTCATCCTGTAATTTGTATATACACTCTTGTAAATTCATAGGTAATTTTTCTTTTTTCTGTTTACACTCTCTATAATTTATTTAGTGTATTTTACAATTTATTTTCTAGTTTCTTTGTTATTTGCACAAAGTATGAGCGGTTCAGGATGCATTTCAAGCATGTTGTACCTGTATAACTATGCATGTGACAAATAAAGATTCTTGAATCTTGATCAAGCTCTCTTCTTCTGCAGTTTATCTTTTACCAGCATCTGTAATGAGATAAAATTCGAAAAATGTAAGGGTGAGTAACAGTAGCGCTAAACCTCAGCCACTCACGGGTGAAGTGCAGTCTAAGGCGAGCGGCCCACCTGAGCTGCCTGCCGCCATCGCTCCTGAAATACAGCGATTGTGTCGCCTACCGTAGTTATTTACGCTGTTTCGCTTTCATTTCAGTGTTACTTTTCCTCGACCCTTCAGAATAGTTACTGCTCTTTCCCCTAGTTTGGTGCGATTTCCAGGGCTATTTTACTTAGTTAATGCGAATTATAAATAGATAAAAATTATTTTATAGGCCTATATGTCTTGTGGGTATTTTATTAAAATTAAATAATTTACTGTAGTTTAGCTATTATGCCGTAAACTTTAAACCCACTGTGAATTTATTCTGCTCTTCCCGTGTCGCCCGGTAATTCTGTGACAAGCGGGTCTCACGTAACCAGACGCCTTTCGGTGTTTTCCCGAAAGTGCTTTGTGGACCTGTAACCTTTCCCTTGATCTGAAGCCGATCTCGCCAGCAATTAGGAAGTTGTCTGGGCTGCGTTGACGTTTTCTGTTTCCTGCCAAAGGAAAGGAGAGCCGGAGCGTGTGAGCCCCGCTTTGCCTCGTTTCTTTCTTTCTGTTTCCCCCGAAGCGGATCCTTTCTGCCCCCGCTGTCATGTCCAACAGCAGCGCAAACGGCACCCTGCTCATGGCGCAGAAAGCCGTCAAGCAGCTGCGTTTCGAGGCCAGCATGTCCAGGATCAAGGTGAGAGAGCTGGGCAGCGACGGGGAAAGGGCCGGGAGATGGCGGTACCCAGGGCCACCTGGCCTGCAGTTTTTCTATGTCTCATATTGTGGATGTCTGAACTGTATAGCCTATAGCTTAAATTAGAATGCATTATTACAATCAAGAGCACGATGGAGCAGATCCGAAAGCGTGTTGCATTTTACTGTATTACTATAGGATACTTATCATTCAGGAATAACAGGGTATCAATTATAGAGCCTCTATATTAAAAAAAAAAAAAACTATCGAGAGTCATTGCTTGTTATGAGTTTGTACTATTTAGTTTAATCTACAAGTGAACCTTGAATGTGCCGAAATCTGTTTTCTTTCGTTTAAAGTGACGTTGCTTCTCTGACGTTGCTTCGCGGTGAAATTAATGTTTTTAAAAACGTTCCGGAAACGTCTGCCTGCGGGGGACCCGGGGGTGGCGTCGCACCGGCCGGGGTGGGAGAGGATACGGGGAAACCTTCACGGCAGCCGGCCAGGGGTGGGAGGCTGCCGATGTATATGCCTCGGAAGCGACGTGTAACTGGCGTGTAACTGTATTTATGCATGTATGTATATGTGTATTTATATATGTGTGCGTGTGTGTTTGTGTCTGTGCGTGTGTGTGTGTGTTTGTATGTGTGGGTGTGTGTGTGTTTGTATGTGTGGGTGTGTGTGTGTGTGTATGTGTGGGTGTGTGTGTGTGT